ATTTTTCCGACGTTTTGATTTAAAATGTAAAGTGGAATCTATTTAAAATACTGAAACTGCACTCGGTTGTATATCCTGAACAAGTTTTCTGTCAGAAAAGAAAACTAGTAGTGGGATTTCCTGCTGAGCAGTTGCTTTAACTGAATTCACAACAGGCTGTGAATTTAGTTAACCACAGGACCAGGTAGGCCACTCAACTGGGCTAAGTTAGTGGTCTATGTAGCATACGGCACATTCAAAGATAGGTGCCACTTCTCACTGTACTAATTGTACAGAGAAGAATTTGTGACTAGTATTTCAGTTTTTATTTATAGAGGAAAAGGAAATAGATTTTTTTCAGTACATTACTGGATGTTTAATTGAGAACATAATTAAACAACAACTATAACTACAAAACTATGCTGACTCCCAAGATAGGTCTTTGGGCTGCCTGCCTGCAGCTTGCAGGTAGCACCCTCTGCTCTACATGCTTGCCTGTTTGCAATAGAAATGTCTTTGCTTTTTTGACTTTTCTAGGAACATGGTTAGGTTACAGATTAGTTCCCCCACTTTGAAATAAACGTTTTTATTACAAAGTGTCACTGATTCATGCTCTTTACGAGGAGCTAGTTATCACTAAGAACTACCATGGTCACAGAGAACATGTATATGATATATTTGACTGTACTCTTTTTTTTTTTTAATGATACCAGGGATTGAACTCAGGACCCTGCGCTTGTGAGGCAGGCATTTATTCTACTGAGCTATCTCCCCGGTCCTTACACTCTGTTCTTTATGATGATAGTGCTTACTAGTGTATCAGGGAGTGATACAAAAAAACTTTGAGCGTCTCACTGTTTCACAAATAAAATATTGAACAACATTTAACTTGGATTAGGTAGTTCTGGGTCTTCTGATTGAGTTTAAATGTATATTCAGACTGCTGATGGAATTATTTTATTTTGGAAAGCATTTTGTCCCATGTTGCAGTTAAGCTCTTTTCAAAATTTTGTAGCCACATTAATGAACCAAAGCAATATCAAACCTTAAAATTAGAAGTACCAAACTGTTACAGGAAAGGATCTAATTATACTTGAGATTTACCCATCTAAACTAAAGTAATTTAGAAGTTATTAAAAATTATCTTAACGTTACACAAACAAATTTAGGAGTTAAAAGTTTGCTGCAGTAGGTGGAAATTATAACTAAGATGTTTTAGAATTAAAGTAGAATAAATCTCACTGAGTTTATTTAGGTGCCTGAAAAATAGCAAGTCGACTATTAGACATGTTTATTCAGAAGCTGGATATTTTAGAAATGGATGCAATAGAACACTGAGCTTGTATTGCTCAAGCAGGCTGTTAAAAATTTTGATTCCAAACTTGCCATTTGTAGCCTGTGAACAAAGAGATTAGGTTTGGTCAAAATATGCAGGAAATGTTTAAATGAAAAAATATTATAGTAAAAAAGACACATTGACATTAATTCCTTGCAAAATATTCTCCCTTAGTTAGACCATATTTATCCCATCATTCTTAGCACTTTCTGGACTAGTCCCGGAAGTCTTCTTTTGTGAGCATCTTTATAAGCCAGGAATACTTCTGCTGAATGCCAGCCAATGAAAAGGCAGGCTGGCAAAGTCACAGTGGCCCGTCCTCATCTGCCTGGTTTACTGGATCTGGCACTGGATGACTTCTGGCTCTTGAACAAAGTCAAAAAGTCAATGTAATCACGAAAGGTAAAAGTATTTTTTTTTCTTTTTTGGGGCATTTTTTTGTTTATTAATACAGGGTCTTGCATTGTAGTCCAAGCAGGTCTTGAACTGACTAGCCCAGGCTGGTCTTGAATTCATGACAATCTTTCTGCCTCAGCCTCCCAAGTGCTGAGATGACCAATGAAAGGTAAAATTTTTGAATCAATTTAGTATATTGAGGCAGCCATGATAGCACAACTGAACACACTCATGGAAGAAGATTTGTAATTATTGCTTCATAAAGTGGCAGGAACAATGAGTAAACAAGTGAGGAAGAGGATTTTTGAAGAAGATTAATGGCAATGTGTACGATAATAATTTTTTTTAACAATTTAAACATTCACCGTATTAAATTCCATATTAAGATACCTTCTAAGTGGAACAACTTGTCTTAATTTAGTCACATTTATACATGAAAGGAGAAATCACTTTAGGTGACACATACTAAGTACGCAACATACTCTACAAATGCAGCTCATGCTAAGGAGTTTTATTCTCTGTACGTCCTACTGTTTTAGTACATGCGTTCTATAATTGTTAGTCCACATTCTATCCTCTAGATGGGCATAAAACTAACTAGTGAGGTATAATCCTCAGGTCTGTAAAAAGTATATTTTGGCCTTAGATATGACTGTTGGAAATACCCTTAAAGGTAAAACTTGTTTTGAAACAGTGCTAGTTTTATTGAAATTTAGGAAAAATTAATATTCTTGGCTGTTTGTAATGTTAATAATTCAATAGATAAACATAATACCTAGCACAAATGAGAACTTTAAAGTATCTTAAAGTAATCTAAGCATGGATACATCAAATATTATTTATTAATTCATTTATTACTTCACAAATATAAATAATCTCACGAAAAAATTAAGTTTCTCTGTGTAAACTAGGAGCCTAGTGGAAAATTGGTCTAAAATTAATCTTCACAGTTTTAGGGAAATTGAAAGTAATATATAACCAATAAAAATAATATTTAGTATCTATAGTACCTTTTAGATTTTATGTACTCTTTGAGGTTCTTATATTAGACAATACGATGTTTGCATATGCAGATCTTATTTATTTCACTTATGAGCATAGTCTCTCTAGTTGCATCCATTTACGTATGAAAGCCTCTTTTATCTTTTTTATAGCTGAGTAATATTCCATTGTATAAACTCTTTTTTTACCCATTCCCCAGTTGGTCGGCGTTGAATTGTTTCCAAGAATTAGCTATGACAAATTGTGCTGGCATAAACATGATTGCACATATATCACTGTGGCATATTTTTAATCCTTCTGGAAAAATACCCAGAATGGGAATAACTGAGTTGAATGGTACTTTTAGTCCTATCCTAGTTTTTGAGAAATCTCCACACTGATTTCTACAGAAGAAGTAGTAGAGGAAGTGGATTTCTACACACCCACCAACAATGGAGAAGGGTTCCTTTTTCCCCACAGCCTCTCCTTTTGTTATTAGTTGATTTCTTGAGGATAACCATTCTTTATGGGGTGAGGCGGAATCTCAGTGTTGTTTTAATTTGCATTTCTTTAATGTCCAATGCTGTTGAATTTTTAAAAAAATGTATTTAACTGCCATTTGTATTTCTTTCTCTAAGAAGTGTATATTCATCTCAGCTGCCCATTTTTGGATTGAGTCCTTGAATTTTTGAGACCTGATTTTTTTTTTTTGTATTTCTTTATATATTCTAGATAGAAGTCCTTTGTGTGAGTGACTGTTAATTAATATTTTTTTGAATTTGGGTTTTTTTTTCACTGTATTCATGATTTCTTTTGGCATGCAAAACCTTTTCAATAGAAGAGATACCAGTTTTTGATTCTTTGAAGTATTTCTAATGCAGTTGGATTTTGTTCATTAAATCCTTGCCTACCCATATGTCTTTAAGAAATCTATCTACTTTCTCTTCTAGTAGGGTTAGTGTTTTTATTTATTTATTTAAATTTTTTGGTGTTTTTGTAACTGGGGATTGAACTCAGGCCCTTGTGCTTGCCAGGCAAGTGCTTATTCTCCTGAGCTATCTCCCCGGCCTCTGAGTTAGTGTTTTTAAAACCTGAAAGCTTTCACTCTAAAGTCAGGTACAAGACAAGAATGTCCACTCTCATCACTCCTATTCAATATAGTACTGGGCATTAGCCATAGCAATTAGACAGTAGAGAGAAATAAAAGGAATAAGAATTGGGAAGCATGAAGTTAGATTATCATTATTTGCAAGTGGCATGATACTGAACATGGAAGACCTAAAAAACTACACCAAGAGACTCCTAAAATTAGTAAACAAATTCAGTAGCGTAGCAGGATACAAAGTCAGCACCCAAAAATCAATAGCATTCCTGTGCACAATCACACTGAGAGAGAAATTAGAGAAAGAACACTCTTAATAATAATATCCAAACAAATGAAATACTTAGGAATTAATCTAACAAACAAAGTAAAAGATTTATAAAGTGAAAATTACAAAACTCTTCAAAAAAAAAAAAAGATTGAAGAGGATTTCCAAAAATAGAAATTTACCTTGTTCATGGATAGGAAGAACCAACATTGTCAAAATGACCATATTCCCAAAACTGTATTTCTCACAATAGATACTTGTAATTAAATGATGTATTACTGTAATTGGATAGTTTAAAAAACTTTTAATGTTAGTTTTAGCATCGACGAGATAGCTCAGTGGACTAAAGTGTCTGCTTAGGCAAGCTCAGGCAAGCACAGGGACCATGGTTCAATCCCCAGCATCATATACTGTGCTGTCCTGGCCACCAGGGTGGGCTGAGCCACCACTGAGTCTGGGCATGGTGGCGCATGCCTGTAATCCAAGCTCTGGTAGGCTGAAAACAGGAGGATCACTGTAAGTCCAGGCTGCATAGTTAGACCCTGTAACAACCATAACCAAATAATTAGTGTAATATAGTGATTGAGTTTCATTTTATGAATGCTTTTAGTGATACTGTGAAATAGCATTAAACACTTTTAGATATTCTAACATAATATAGACGTATGTAATGAACAGCTTTTATAATAACACTTTGAATTTTGACCTTATCTTTTGGAGCTAAAATAGATAATACATAAAATTTTTAATAGCTTTTTAAAATTGTCTTCTCTGGATCAACCTGTGTGAACCAATATGCATTAATTCCTCTCTCTCTCTCT